CATCGTATTTTCACCCTTGCGATAAGCAAGGGTGTTGTTATCGGGTACTAGGCTTTTTCCCGTAAACTTTGTCTACAGGATCGTCACTTCTAGAGGATCTTTCATCTGACATACTCAATTTCTTGAAAATTCAAATGAAAGTACTATCACTTAGCTAGTAATTAGTTCAAGCCCATTTCAGGTTGTACTTATCTTTTTAAAAAATCCGCCAATTTTTTTTATCTGGTAGGGTTCTTATTTAATTACTTTTTAAAGCATGGGTTTTTCTCAATTTAACCAGTTCTTACTATAACTGAAACTTGACAAGTTTGTAAATTTACCATGTCTGATTTTGAGATTTTTTCTTTTTTTGAAGGTTCAAACACTGTCACTTTATGTTATATCTACTTAGTCAACTTATTTTGCGTAATTTCGAGGGCAAGATATATATATATATATATATATATATATATATATATATATATATATATATATATATATATATATATATATGGCATTATGTTTTTCAGTTCGAATGGGTCGTGAAAACTTTCAAATTTAATGAAATTTTTTATGACAACAGTTTTGTTTTCGGCTCAATAGGTGTCGACCCAAACTTTGTTGCCGCTCGTAATTTTTTAAGGGCTATTTTAAACTTCATGTGATGCAAATATGAAGTTTTTGTAGCTGTAATTTATCAACTTTTGTCAAGTTATTTCAAGTTGTTTTCAACATAACTTTTCAGAATTTTTTTGACTTTGTTTTTTTTTATTTTCTTCATTTTCTAGCACAATAAGTTTTTTTGCATCGCAAGTGTTGCGAAACCCATGCGTCCGAGGGCAGTGCACACATAGTGTAGTGTGTAATGAAGTGGGAGGTCCTCTGAAAAAAACGTGGTGTATGTTTTGAAAATTGCCCCAAAGCCCGAAACGAACCTGTTTCATTATTCAGCTGGTACAAATTTTCTTCTAAGAAAACTGTTTCAAAACAGTTTTAAATCCTCTGTTTTCAACATTTCAAACGTTTTAAAACAGTTTTTCTGCAAGAAAATTTGTACCCGCTGAATAATGAAACAGGTTCATTTCGAGCTTTGGGGCAATTTTTTTAAAATATACTCCACGTTTTTTTTTTCATAGCAGATTGGTTCAATTTTTGACCCCCGAACATCGGTTGCAAAACATTAGCTGCAAACTTTACATCTGCCGGCAAAAATAAACAATTTTAAAGCGGCTGACTTGTTAAAAGGTGGTCTTGAGCAGCCGTGGCCGAGTGGGTTAGGCACATGTCTTTCAACACGAGGGTTATGTGTTCGAGTCCCAGTTCGGTCACGGTTGCAGGGGTCCCAGAGTCATCCGCCTCCTCAAGGTGGGACCGGCTGCGGCGAAATGGATGGCATCTCTCTCCATCACGGTTGGTCTTGCACTGAGCAGGACCGGGGGCTAATGCAAAGAAGTGCTTTTGTCGCGGTGTTTTAAAACACAGCAATAATGGCATTGTTTTAAACGTTTTTAAAATTCCGTTTTAAAATTTGCCAACCCTGCTCTGAACATATCTACGCCATTTCTTTTGAACTATGAGAAAAATAACTCTGAGAAAAATAACCAAAAAAATTGCATGTAGTTCTTAAGCAGGGGCACAACAGCGGTTCGCCGTGATGGGCTGTACAGCTCGTATGTTGGTCCTATCCCTCGTGGATAAATGATCTTAACTAACTAACTAGAATGGTCTTAACTGTAATTTTTACAGGTGGTAACCATTTATGTCAAATGTGTAAAAATTTCTTTGAAGAAATTATATGGCTCTTCTTTCGCTTTCGCGAATGCAAAATCAACCGCGTTTGAAAGAAAAATTTGTCTTTTTAAATATAGATATCATAGATTATTTCTCAGATACTTGTCTGCACTATACGAGCATAGCATGAACAAAGGACCTCCGCATTTCATTCCACTACACTATGTGTGCACTGCCCTCGGACGCATGGGTTTCAGAATGGTAGACTACTTCGAAGGAGAAAATTTCTGGGGCTTATCTCCCGAATTGGAGCAGCAAAGACGAACGATAACGGACGTGTTCAAAGAAAACGCATTCCTTTTCGAAAGAACCTAAATTTATGTACATAAATATTTTTAGTTATCAGATGTTCAATCATATTGAGTGCTAGATCGATTTAATTGTATCCAGACCGTTTTGTATTTAGAGATTGTTTGATATTAAAATTTTTCGTATATTTTATCATTTCAAAGCACTAATGTCCTTTGTTCGATTATCTAGACGACTGTAGAAAGTTTTTTGTAGAAATTATATATTACTCATATAGAAATTTTTATGTTTGTTTTTCATTTTTGAAGACAACTGTTGTCATCTATAGCTATTTCACGAACGTTTCACGCGTGAATATAGTTCTCTCGTCACATCACGCATAAAACAACTCTAATTACACTTGCGAAGCTAGTGTATTAGTAAGAACCTTCTTTTTTTTAAGCTAAGTCGCAAATATTGGTTCCATTTTGGGGCACCTTTACAGCTTTTTCTTAGCATGGGCTTTGACATTCGAATAGTATTAAGTTAACACAGTTGATGTATATTTAATTTATCAAACGAGCCGAAAGAAGTGATTGGTTCCAAACAACAACAATAATGAAAACTCGAATTCAGAAATTTTCTGACTCAATATAGCTAGCAAAGCATAAAGCCACATTATGTATAAATTATGCATTTCAAAAAATTGTATAAATTATGCATTTTAAAAATTTGCAAGATATATTGAGATTAATTTATACATAATATGGCTTTATGCTTTCAGATTTGTTACATTGAAAGTTAGTGTGGATCCCTTCAGTTTGTTATATTCCAAATTATTACTTGCAAAATTGAGTCTATTCGTTTTTGGTGCCACTTGCTCAATCGCATTGGCAAATTATTAGCATATGTAGCTGCTTTATGGGTGACTAGTGTTTGTGGGTTGTTAAGCTTGCGTGGCTGAGTGGATAGAGCGTAAGACTCAAAATTTCTTGATTGCAGTATGTCGCAGATTCGAATCCTACATGAAGCCGAATTTTTGCTAGTTCGAGGCTTATTTCTACTTTCTTTTTTCACTTAATAGAGCTGCTTTTTGGTCGTATTCTCGCAAGTGTTTGCAAAGCGCAGCCTCGATTCTGTGTTTTAAACAAGGATAGCCGTTACTGTGCAAGTAGAACAGAATGTTCCGAACATTAGTCTTCGACAGTCGTAAAACAGCCAAATTCGACAGTCAACGTTAAACAGCCAAATTGGAAAACAGTTTTTGTAGAAAAGTGAATAGTAAAACGAAAAAAAGATCGTAAAAAAGTTTCAAAAAAATTTTCTAAAACTTTTGCGGAAAGTTTTTGAATTTTGAAACTGTTGATTCCCGAATTGGCGCTAAAAACTCCAAAAATAAACTTTACTCAAAAAATCTTAAGTTTTCAAGGCTTAAATTAAGCATAAATAAGTTAATCTAAGCCTGCATCACGCGAACCATTCCGATGATTAATTTTGGAAGACAAAAAAACTAAACCACAACCGAATACAAAGTTCCGCCACATTTTTCAAATAGTCGGAACAAAAAAGACGTTTTTTTAATGTGGTTGGAACGTTCTGTGTTACTTGCGCAGCAGTTGGCTATCCTTGGCGTTTTTGTTCACATGAGTGATATCCTCGTTTGTTTGGCCCATCCTGTTTTCAGTATTTTCAGACAATCGTGACGCGTGGTTGAGTACTTTTTCTGGGGTTTTGAACTGCCATTTTTTAGCTATTGAGTCAGGAAAAAAGTCACGCTCAGTTTTGCGGGAAAATGTTTTGTTGACTGTCGTTTTGATTTTTCGCGGTTTGACGTTCAAATTGCTAAAAAAGAAGAAAAAAACTAACTTCTTATTGATCCAGTTTTCTCTCAATGGAACAACTTTCAGATAAAGTGCCAATAATTAAAATTTCCTGAAGTTCAAAAAGCTTCAACGTGAAATAGTTTTTCTTTGATAGTTCAATTAAATGCTCAGAAAAATTTCAAATCCTGCCGGCTATGTTCAAATTGTTTTCTTTTTCAACAATGGATGCGGTAAAGATACAAATGTCAAAACTGTCAATGATAATGTAGCTAGCAATAAAAAGTGTTATTTTTCGTTCAATTTTTTTTGAACCTTAATTAAACTATCTGCATCTTTTTGCTTGGTTTTGGAAGATATTTTGTCAGTGGGGTGTTTTTTGGTGAATGCGGTACAATAAACAACTTTCGCAATCAATCTTTTTTTCCAACCATTGAAAATCAAAAATTCAAAAAAATTTTGCAAAAAAGTTTGCAAGTTTTGATCGCTTATTTTAATGATTTTTTTGTTTGTCTAGTCATTTTTTTTTCAAAAATTGTTGTCTTATTTGCTGATAACTAAGTTCGTGTTTTTCATTCAGGTGTTTTTAACACCACCCAGAAAAAATCACACTATTTTTTGGTATTTAAAAAGACTATGGTTTTATGTGCTATTTGTGCAGTTACCGGCTATCCTTGCTTTTATGTATGGAATTTAAAGTTTTCGGTAAGATTTAGAGTTCCAAAGATTTTAAAAAACGAGTTTGCTTAAGGTTGAATCGCACCACCGTAAGATAGCCCAATAAATCAGCTTATTGTTTTCAGTGCGTGTTTTTGTCTGCTCTCTGTCAACTAAGTGTGCTGGCGGATTTCGAAGTTTTTCTGAAATATAGATTTCCAACGGTAAAAAAAGTTGGTTTTGATTTTTTCGTCCAACTAACCTTCTACGAAACTTGATCAATTTAGTTTTTCTTGCACTTCTTCAATGGATGTGCGTCAATGGCTCTGAGATTGGGAAAATTCAAGTTTTTATGCGCTTGTGTCCAAAATGCTTTTTTTGTAGGTCATTTTTGCTGAAGTTATTTGTGAAGATTGTATCGTTCTATTGAATCTCTCGGCTTCGTTTTTGTTCTCCCTTCTCAACTGGGTAAAATTCAGATTTTTATGTCCTAGGAGCTTAAAAGTCTTCCGCAATAACTACTATGTAACGGCTATTTCTAGTTAATTTCTCTTTCTGTGTTGCTCAGATTCCGCTTAGATTTGCTTTTTCTTCATTTATGCTGTTGCTCTTTTCATTGTTCCATTGTCTATGATCAGCATTTGTCTAATTTCAGTTAGTTTTTGTCACAAAGTTGGGATGACTTCAAATTTGACCTTTGAAGAATCGCTGCAAGTTTTGGAGAAATGCCTGAAGCTCACTTTTTCGCTTCCCTACAGCTCAACCTCATCAAGTCACCACCATTCACACCATAGTGCTAGTCACACAATGAGCCAACAGCCGCCTTCGTTGGATTTGACGTCTTCGAGAGACTTCGCTTCTTCTGTGGCCTCTGATTTCAACTCGGCTCTTCTTCAGTTGGAAGTCTATTTTCTGAGATGTCGAATGTTGGCCAGCATTGAAGGTGAGTGTATCAAGCACATATATAGACTTTTCAATGTTTTCTTACCTTTTTTGGGGGTGGAGGAGATTGATTTTCCGAATTCAGTTGCCAACAATAACCAATACTCCTTAATTTGCTTGCAGATATAGTCTTCGCAGGCTACTTATTGCAAATGTTTCGAAAAATCTTGTAATGATAACTCTTAACATAATTTAAAAAAAAACGTTTTCAGGCTCACGCTGCGCTCTCAAATTGAATAAATTTTCACACCTGAAATATGGCAGGTGAGCCAAAAATAGGTGCATGGAATTAAACACAGGTGATAGTGTTGATTTCTCAATTACGGGGAAAGAAGTCGTTTCAGTTCTAATTCAAAAAGGCTCGAGTTTTCCATTTGATAAAGTTTCCAGTGAAGTATATTTGTTTGTTTTATTGTTCCAGCGCGTGGATCGGACGAAGCTGAAATGGAGGCTATCAAGGCGGAAATAGCCAAGAAAGACATCCTCATTGAGTCGATGGAGAGAAATCTCAAAAATTTGGTTCACGAGTTTGGCAGTTGACACATCTAACAAAAGATCTCTATCTTATGCGAGGAACAATCGATTGTGGCTTCCCGGTTGCTGATCAGTGACTGGTGCTCAATATGAAGTTAACGTGCTCAATGTGAAGATAAACAATTTAAAATATAATACAACTGATAAACAACGTTTGATTTTGTGAAGCAATTTTTACAAGTTGAAAATTCGTTTTCCCATTTTTTTGTGAATATCGTGTCATTAACTATCTTTGATGTGTGATATAAAAAAAATAAGTTAATCGGTGATCCAACTTTTTTGTCATGAAAGATATGGTCCAGCTAGTCCTCCTGCCTGATAATGGAATGCTCGTTAAGAAGCATGGTGACATTAAAGACCTCGTTTTCAGGAGTGTGGTCTCGAAAAGCTACCAATGGTTCTATAAAAACGACAACAAAAAGTAGTTGAAGGTAGTTTTTAAGCTATGCCAGCGAATTGATATGTTTGATAATTTCGTTTCATTGAGGACTTTAGTGGTAAATATAATGAAGAACTGTTTGCAAGTTTCCTTTTTGTTTTCAGCCACTTGAAGTAGATTTCTAGTGTTCTGGAGGGACCACTCTTCTGAACGAGCCTTTGAATGGGCCTCATCAATAACCCGGGACCATACTTCTTAACGAGTACCAGCAAACGAACTCACGTGCAAATAGTTTAAGATTGGGTATGAAGTGTTAATGAACGAAGTGATTTTCACTTATATAGGTCTTGATGATTTTTTTTTCAGGAAGAGCCTTAAAATGCTCTTATCACTTCATTCATATTAAAGCTTTTATGAACGCTTTTGAGCACTTGTATGCACTTTTCGAGTTCAATTCAAGTTCATTTGGTAAAAGGTAGGCAGATTGCGCTCTTCAATTATAAAATCGGAAGTGGCGCTAAAAAACGTGTACGTCTTCGAGTTTCGAAAGGAAAGCAGATATTAATGTTTAGAATTTCCAGCGGGATAATTAATTTACCCATTGAAATGTGATTATCAAGAATTTTGGATGGTGCCAGAAGATTCGTAAATTATCTATTGGAAGGTTCTATGATACACACCGGTTAAGTTGGAATTGAGTGAAACTTCTCTTATTCAGTTTTCGAAGTTTTTTAATGAATTCCCTTTATCCTTGGGTTAATTGATCAACATACGAGTTTTTCCAGAATTTTTTCAACATTTTTCCAACATTTTTTGCGCCAGTCCGAAATATGAAAAGCAAAGTGATATATTTGATTTCTGGTTATTTGTTCTGGGAACAATCAGCTTGTCGCAGTTGATTTTAGGGAATTCTTTCAGTTCGCCGGCTACGCGCTATTTATTTTTTGAAATATCGTTTTTCCCTTAGAATCTTTCAATAAACGTTGATTTTCCACAGAAAAAGTAGTCACACTTTTTATTGGAGCTTAGGTTCTATGATTAGTACCAACAAACTGAACTTCTTTTCATTTTCGAGTTTTGGCATTGATGCCTTTAATATGCTTTTTACAATCTTTTAATTTGTTACCCAGAGGGTCAATTTTTTTGCTGGGAAAGTCATCAAAGAGCGCAAATTTGTAGAAGGAAGCCACATTGTGGATTTAAATGTCCTAAAAACGGTTTTTTGTGCGCTTTTCATAACTGAGTTTTCGGTTGTGTAATTTTATTCCAAATCTACGAACAGAAGTAGGCCGGACGGTATCGTACCAAAAATTTTAAAAACAAAAATCTTTAAAGAGAATAACCTGTTTTTTTTCTGAAATCAAAATTGTCAATTTAGGTGGTTAAAATAAGTACAAAGTAAGCGTCAAACAAGATGATAAAAGCTTCAATCACTGTTGAAATCAAAACATGGAGTAATTATTTAAAGTGGCGTATAGGATTTTTATGTGCAACATCGTCTCTGTATTAAAATGGCATAAACTTCTACACTCGTGAACATTTTGAAATTCAAACAAGACTGCTCGTAGAAGGGCGAAGCCTTGAATGTTCCGACTGACTTTTAAGGCTTATGGAGCAGTAATAACATTAGGAAAATAAATGTAATAAAACAAAATGAAATTTTTTTTAATTTGAAATTTTTTATGAAAATCATCCCCCACACGCCATATAAAGTACAAAATGATAGATTTCGCTTCTTGTAACAAATCAATTATGGCAGAAAAGGTTCTTTCAACCAATTTGGAACGATTTCTAAGACGGATTAACTCTCAGCCTACGCGTTAATAGCGCGAAATAGATCGCGCGTTAATTGTCCCAAATTGGCCAGTATGGCAATCTTTAAGAGAGAGAGAGAGAGAGAGAGAGAGAGAAAGAGAGAGAGAGAGAGAGAGAGAGAGAGAGAGAGAAGGACTTAATTTACCCCTTGGGGCATTTACAAAATAATCTTACAATTTACAAAACTTAACAGCAATAATAGAAATAGTTTATATTTTTGAAAAAAGATATTAAGAACGACAATACAGGCAAATACATTTTTCCGACCTCGTACAGCTCACTTTTTCATTGTAAGTTTGAAGCTTGCTCTTGTAGAAAAGGTGAATTTTCCTTTTCCATTCACAAAATGAATCACGAGCATCAATTTTCAGGTGATTTACCAACCTTACAACTCGATCAAAATAAAAATTTCTCGTCTTCAAATATCTTCGATTTTTCAAAACAAACATGCAGTAATTTGAGCTCCGCAACGACGAACAAGATTCTGAAAGGGTAACGTAATTGAAAATATTCAGGACATATTTCCCGTGGAAAAGTCGATGGAAAAGGAGTAAATCACTTATCTCTAACTTATAGGAGATAGGGTAAATATTCAAGTTCAAGAGTGTAGAATTATAATCACCAGTCATGCCAATCCACTTAATGCAACGCTTATTTAAAGACTCCAACTTCTGAAGATCTGTTTTGCTTGCGGACCAAAATGGAGATGCATAAGATAAAATGGAGAGAATACAAGTTTTGTATAAATTAATTTTGAGTGATCTAGATGCACTCATCGGAACATTTCTTTTCAGCATAAAGAAGACCTTATAGCACTTCGAAATTTTGTCAACAACGTGGAGGGATCAACCTAAATTCGAAGTAAAAATAACACCAAGGTCTTTAAAACTTTGAATGCTATCAAGCAAAGTATTACCGATATAGAGAGTCGTTATGGAACAGTGAAAAAATGAGAGTATTTTGCACTTCTCTGGATGTAAATCAAGAAAATTTTCAGTGCACCACCGCTGTAGAGCGAACAAGTCAGTCTGTAAGGAAGTAGAGTTTACGCTGCAGTATTTGAGATCATCAGCAAAGAGAAAAGGAGAGGTGCTAAGGGTTGAGGGAAGATCGTTTACAAACAGTAAGAATAATAAAGGCCCTAAAATGCTACCTTGGGGCACCCCACTTGTCACTGAGACAATTTCAGATAGCATGCCATCTATGTGCACACGCTGGTAGCGATTGGATAAATAACTATGTAGAAGTTCTAGGAAATCATGATCAAGGCCATATGACGCAAGTTTATAAAGCAGCCGTTTATGTCGCACTGAATCGAAACCTTTCTTTATGTCAGCATAAAACACGGTAGTAAAAAGACCCTGATCATGACCTTCAAAAATATTATCACAAAAACTCAAAAATTGAGTTACAGTTAAACGCCGAAACATGAACCCATATTGCGATGACGAAACTTTGTACCGGATTTTCAAATAAACATGATCAAATAAAACTCATTCTAGACCTAGTGATAATTTCGGTAATAAGCTGATTGGCCGATAATTGGTAACATCAGTGTAACTTTCTTTCTTATGAAGAGGTGAAACATACGCAGTTTTTCAAGCATCAGGCTTTGTGCTTCAAAATATTCTCGTAAAGCGCAATAACCAAGGGACACAGTTGATTAGAGCAGTACCTTAGAAATGCAGCAGGTACATTATCACAGCAAACTGAGGATGAATCATCAGCAGAGCTTAAGAAGTTGAGAATTTTATCGAAAGAGATATCAATGGAAGTTAACGAAACTGACGAACAAGTATAGAGCTGTAACACATCGACCGAACAGGAGGGTTTGAAGACTGAAGCGAAAAAGCGATTAAATAAATTGGGTTTTTCTAAAATGGTGCGAGCTTTAAATGACCCCCAATGTAAGGTGCCAGGAACTTGTTGGAAATGCTCTTGAGAATTTTGAAACAGTTGTTAACATTCAAATTTGCAAATGAGTTGAGATAACATAATTTATCTAGTTCTAAGTTTCGGTCAAGCTCAAGTGCCAGAGAACTATGATCGCAAGCCGGGAATTGTCGTGTCTTTGAAGTTAGTTTGTTAATAAGGTGAACGGTAGATGAACTGTAGTAAAAAGGTAGTTGTTGTCGTTTTTTCCGTTTCAGCTGTGCAGATGGTGCCACTGCACCTGATATTGTAGGCATAAACAGAGTTGAAAAAATTTGGATAACTTAATGCATCGTAGCATGCATCTAGGAAACTATTAAAAGCAACGAAATTAAAAGAACTTCTGGATTAAGATGGTGGAAATAACTCAGCGTTTGTATGCATTGAAAATGTAACCCCAACGGCACGGTTATCAGAAAGTGCACAATCAAAGACAACAGGTTCATTTTCTAGAAAACGGTCAGTTAGAAGAATGTCAAGTATATTCCCACTATTATGAGTTGGTTCATGAATCAATTGCTGCAGATTGTAATCTTGGAAGATTGCAATCAAACTCTTGTCAAAGCTGGAAGAACTGAAGCTAATGCGCCAATCAATATCCGGTAGGTTTAAATCACCGCCAAGTAAGAAATAATTATTTAAACATCCAAGTTTTGAACATTCCGTCCGGTAAGCAGAATATACTAAGGATAGGAAATATTGAACTTCTGAACAGGGTTGCCTGAACCTACAAGATGCAGGAGGATTATATACTGTAGCAATGCATAAAACATATGAAGAACTCGAAAGTAAAGCAGCGCATCCAACATTAGAGTTGCAATGAACCGGTATGATATCAAAATGTGAATTTAAGGTAGATTTCATGGCTATAAGAGCACCCCCGTGTTCGCCATTTGATCTATCAGATCGAGCAATAACGAAATAATCAGAGAAAGGAAAAACGTGATTAAATTCGGTAGGGTCATTCAGCCACGTTTCGGAGGCACAGAAGATACCACAGTTCCACGAATTTAACAAGTTAACAACTTGTAGTCGTCTATTTAATGAAACAAAACTTGGGCAATTTAAGAACACTATAAATAATTCAGAATATAGTCCGTCTTCATTGGAATTTATTGGAACCTCTTGGCCATCCAAATAAAGTTTTAAATCTCTAATTTTAATGAGACTTTTGTCATGCCCAGATTCGCTAAGTTCAAATCGCTTTTTCAGAAGGGTTCTTTCAAGTTCTTGGCCAGTTTTTGTGAGGGACTTACTAAGGAATACGGCAGATGAATAGTCTTTCAGCTTGTAGGCTTTGCTCAATAACTTGCGAGCAGACCACGCTGAATTCAATTTTACAATGATACTTCGGGACTTTCCTGAATTGGGTTTCAATTTGCCCGCCCTATAAACGTCTTGAATACAACCTGAAGCATCCTTTTCAATAAATTCCAGCACAACGGTGACTAGTTTCGAATCAGCTTCGAATCGTTTTGCTGTGATTTGAGATGAGCTCTCAGGTATGCCTTGAATTCTGATTTCATCTACTTTATGGAGAGTTTCAGACTGTGCAGAGGTAGAGGGGTTGGAGATGACGGTTTGGACAGCAAGGGTGACTGGCACAGACTTGATAGATTTTTCTACCGCAGATATCGAATCGACAATTAAGGTAGTGGACTTCACCCTGGACAAGCCTTCGCGTAATAAACAAGTGAGATTGCTTTTAATGACAGTGGCGAAAAACTTATTCAATTCTTCAGGATTACAATCAAGCAGCTCGTCAATCGCAGGATAATAGTCCTTGGTAAACGATTACCGCCCACGTCCACTATCGCCGTCCACCATGACAATCAAATCAGTTGTCTCTATTTTAGCTCTTTAAAATAAATCAAGAAGAAGTATCGGAAATAAAGCAGAGAACGATAGAGTTAATAACCAACAACGTCACGTAAGTGAAGTGAATATATCTTTTGTTATTCTAGTTCAAATGCTGAGTACCATCAACCGGATCTCTAAAACCCCTTAGCATAGTGCTATCCACGTAAGTATCCGATTTGCCGAACAGTGCGCTCTGAAATGAACTTATCAAATAGCAGCTAGTGCTAATTAATAAGTTTATCACAACAATTTACCACAACAAATTTGCAAATGAGTTGCTCCAAGTTTTCAAATTGCTTTCTTGTTGAATTTTGACCCCCGTAACTTTACAAAAAAAAATCACAGGTGAAATATCTTTTCAAATTTGAGCTGAGGACAACAATATTTCTCGAATGATATTTAAAAAAATTCCGTCAAAAATGGCTAGTTAAAAAGTCGAAATTTGTCTGAAGAAAAAAACCCACCCCGAGCACAAATATTCCGTTAGTTTCGCATCGAAAGTCGGAACAATAAAAGATCTCGGATCTTTTCCACGCCCCCTCCCACGTTTGAATTTCAATTTCGAAAAACTATTTTAACCTTTTCCTGACGCAATGAAATTTTGAATATTGAACAAACTAATCATGGTGAACCGATTTTTTCTTTATAGTGTACATCGTGACATCATGCCTTTAGCCATAAAAACGCGTAAAACAACTAACAAAACAAATCTCGAAATGTGAGTTGAAAGTTGAAAAGAGGCGAGATCTCTTATTCAGTTTTCCCTCCTTTTTAATAAAAAAGTCCATTCATTTTTCAGAGAAAGAACCAACATGAGTTTTTTTGTTTGTTTTTTGAGGAAAACCGTTTTGCTCACGACTGAACCCACATGCATTTTTTAGTTTTGTTGCCTCATAGTCAAGCTATGAGCGTGGATCATGGTAGACCTGCTTGGGAAGCAATTGATCTTTCGACTTGAGAAACTGCACGTATCAACGCGAAGCTCTGAGTTTTCAGACTGGCCTCCAAATTGAACGAAATATTTTTTTTTGTCAATGAAATTTTATTGTTTTGATCTTTTTTGTCCCTACCAAGCATTTTGAAGTAAAAATGATTTAGTTCTCTCGTAATTTTTTGTTGTTGTTATTTAGACTCACAGTCGTGCCGCATTTGAGTTTCTGGGCTGTTAGAATTTGTAAACTATGCGCTAGTATTTTTTTATACTTGATAAAGCAAGTGTCTCAATCGGGAACTAGACTTTTTCTCGTCAACAAGTTTTGTTCCAAGTTTTTAATTTGCTTTCTCGTTGAATCTTAACAACTTCGAGGTTTCTTCGCAGTTGGCCTAGAGGTATCGCCATTGCCTTTGCATTCTAAGATCCGGGGTTTGAATCCCGTTCGCATCACGTTTTTTTAAGTGTGTATGCAATTGAAGTTTTTTTCCGGTAAAATTGATGTGGCGGACGTTAGCTTATCTGCTTAAGTTTTGTCGGCTTAGCTGCCATGTCACAGATTTGTTTTGTGCCGTAAGCAAGTATCTTGTTATCTTATTGATTGTAGGTTCAGGGGGACTTAAATCTTTTTAAAGTTGTACTGAAATAATTTTTTTGGCTCTACTGGTATCTGCTCAAAGATTGTCAGCTTTACAGCTTTATTTCTGCTCGGTAATTTTTGTTCCGTTGCCAATTTAAAAATCAAATGTCTTGCTCGGCATGTTTGTCTAGGATTTTTATTACAAGTGTAATGAAAATGAATGTGTTTGAGTTTGTTAAAGATTTTTTTAACCGATTTTCAAAAACGGGTGTTAGCGGAACGACGAGCTACTCCCCTGTATGCCTGCATTTTATCCTTGTCTCTTTGTACTTCAACCCTCTGTCTACATCCTTCGAAACAGTCTGCAGGGAAAATAATTGACCCATTTTATCTCAAAAGCTAGCCTCCCAAATCTGAGATTTTGATTTCAATGAAAAGAACGAGTTTTCAGAAAACTCCACTGCAAAGGCGGCTACCTCCAGAATTTTACTCACAAAGTTATGTCCCCGGGTAAAGTGAAATTTTTTATTTTTTGTCCGTTTTTTTTAACTCTTTGATTGTTCTCGGAAACTAGCCTGCCAAATCTGAGATTGTGGATTCACTTGAGATAACTGATGGTGGTAAGCTGCCCTGAATTAGCAGCCATTCACAATAGATTTATACAAAAAATATCGCACTCAGAAATGTCAAATTTTTGATTTTTTGACCGTTTTTCAAATTTTTGTTTCATCGAAAACTACCCTGCAATATGTGAGATTTTGAGTTCAAATCAAAATATGAGTTGTGAGAAGCCCCTTTGCATACGCGACTACTCCCAAGTTTTTTTTATACAAAAATTTTTGGCCCTCGTGAAAGTCAGTTTTGAAACTTCGACAGTATTTTGGAAACGTTTTGTTTTGACTCGAAAACTAAAGTGCTAATTCTCAGGTCAAGTGTTCAATCGAAAAATTCGGCTTTGGGATTCTACTCTAATTGAGCGGTCTGCTCTATGAAGAAAAAGTTTTGGATTTCGTACCGTTTATAAGAAGTTTTTTGAATTTTCTTAATAACTACTCTATCAAATCTGAGATGAAAAGTTCTATCGGAAGAACAGGTTACGAGAATTTTTCTGCAGAAGCGGCGAATTCTTATTTTTAGTAAAAGAAATTTTGTGTCCTTTGAAAAATTTCAGTGTCAATTTTTTCACTCTTCTCAATTATTTTTATTTGAGACACAACTAAGGTTTGGGCAAATTATAAATACGTAAAATTTCAAACATGTAGCTCCTGCTTTAGCTGGGCCCTCAAATGTCTTCTGTTGAGACTACTAAAGTTTTTGTTCGTCTAGGTTTTTAAAAACTTTTTCTTGTTTTTTGACCTCTTATGTTTGTGTGGTATCGCAAGTGGTGCGAACCTCCGCTTCGCCTCTGATAAATAATATTTTTGCATTTTTTTGAGAGAAATAAACTAGTTTTCAGTTTTGAAGCTTATGTATTGATGCTTTTGCGATTAATTTATCAATGCATTCAAACTTTATTTTGGGTGGTCAATTCTTTGCTGGGGAAATTAAACTTCGGTACAAGTTTTATCGACACACAGACAAATAGACACACAGACAATTTCATCGAGTTACACGTCGGAAGAAAACTATTTAAACGTTTTTGAAACTAAGCTTTCTGTTGTTATGTAATTCCAATTAAATCACAAAAGTAGCCAGTTGATTTATTAGAAAACATTAGCATGGTGCTATCGCAAAAACAAACATTCAAAAAAAAAACTTTTTTTTCAAAAAAAATTCCAAAAACTTAAGAAAAAAGCAAATGTTTGTCTCGAAACAAGTTTTTTTTGACGCTTTTCAAAACTAGCAAGCTGAATGTCAATACTTGTTGTGACCGTTTGGTGATCGTAATCAGAACAACAATACTTTCCGGCTCCTGTACACATATCACGCAGTTGTAACTTCGCAAAAGATCTATTTAAACAAAAAACTATAAAAAATCGTTTTCTGTTTTTCAATTTTGTTTTTCGATCTGTTTTCCAAAATTTGTGTGCGTGTGGGGTGGGAATAAAATCCGGATGAAAGCCATCTAGTAATCGTTTGATAAATGAATAAAGAAATGAGCAACTCGTGGTTTCTACGTTATTTTTGGTATCATATGTGAAAACCGGAGCAGTCAGCTTCCGGAACATGTCAAAGAAGTTGTCTCGATGAATGGTAACATTTTGGTTTTCTGGCTTATTGTTCCGACTTTCGATACGAAAGTAACAGAATATTTGTGCTCGGGGTAGGTTTTTTTTTTCTTCAGACAAAATTCGACTTTTTAACTAGCCATTTTTGACGGAATTTTTTTATATCATTCAAAAGGTATTGTTGTCCTGAGCTTAAATTTGAAAAGATATTTCACCTGTGATCATTTTTCGCAAAGTTATGAGGGTTTAAAGATTGCCATTTTGGCCAATTTGACCAATTTGGGACAATTAACGCGCAATATAATTCGCACTACTAACGCGTAAGCGGAGATTCAATCCGTCTTATAAATCGTTCCAAATTGGTTGAACGAAGCTTATTTGCCATAATTGATTTGTTACAAGGAACGAAATCTATCTTTTTGTAATTTATAATATGGCGTGTGGGGAGATGATTTTTATTAAAAAAAAATTTCAAATTTTAGAAAAAAAAATTTCATTTTATTTTATTTCATTTATTTTTTATGTATTACTGCTGCTCAATAAACCAATAAAACCTGATACGAGCAGTCTTGTTTATTTTTACTGTGGGACAAGGGACGGTTAAAGATATATTATTGTTCCGACTTTCGATACGAAAGTAACGGAATATTTGTGCTCGGGGTGGGTTTTTTTTTCTTCAGACAAATTTCGACTTTTTAACTAGCCATTTTTGACGGATTTTTTAAATATCATTCGAAAGGTATTGTTGTCTTGAGCTCAAATTTGAAAAGATATTTCACCTAAGATCATTTTTTGTAAAGTTACGGGGGTTTAAAGATTGCCATTTTGAGCAATTTGGGACAATTAACGCGCGATATATTTCGCGCTACTAACGCGTAAGCGCAGAGTTAATCCGTCTTAGAAATCGTTCCAAATTGTTTAAAAGAAGCCTATTTACCATAATTGGTTTGTTACAAGGAGCGAAATTTATCCTTTTGTACTTTATATGGCGTGTGGGGTGATGATTTTCATAAACAATTTCAAATTTTAGAATTTTTTTTTTCATTTTGTTTTATTTCATTGAATTTTTTAATGTTATTAAAAAGCAATCACTCAAAAAAAAGTCTCCAAAAACCTTAAATGGCAGTCGGAACAATCAAGGCTTCGCCCTGATACGAGCAGTCTTGTTGTTCCGACTTTCGATACGAAAGTAACGGAATATTTGTGCTCGGGGTGGGTTTTTTTTTTCTTCAGACAAATTTCGACTTTTTAACTAGCCATTTTTGACAATTTTTTTAAATCATTCGAAAGCCATTGTTGTCCTGAACTTAAATGTGAAAAAATTTTTCACCTGTGATTGTTTTTCGTAAAGTTATGAGGGTTTAAAGATTGCCATTTTGGCCATTTTGACCAATTTGGGACAATTAACGCGCGATATAATTCGCGCTATTAACGCGTAAGCGGAGATTTAATCCGTCTTATAAATCGTTCCAAATTGGTTGACCGAAGCTTATTTGCCATAATTGGTTTGTTACAAGGAGCGAAATCTATCCTTTTGTACTTTATATGGCGTGTGGGGGGATGATTTTCAT